GTAACTGAGCTTATCGGATGAAACATCTACAGCGTGAAAACATAGATCCTGTGCAAAATGTACGTAAATATACCTTATCCTTGAAACACCCATTTATATCCAAATCACTACTACACTCTAAACTGCTTATTCCTGGGCATTTGCCTGCTCTCGGACAAAGTTCTATTGTAGTGTTTATAATTATTTGCGTAATTCTGCTCACAGGAAACAAAAGAATAAACGCCAGCAGAAAATTCCATAAAACCGAGATAATGCCAATAGAAACTGTAGGCATAATCAATTTTGATTTACTATCATATGAACAACCTAATTTAACTCGAATAATCATGCTTATTATTTCATGACATGACCCATTTTAATCTTTATGTACGTATATTGTGCTTATGTTCGAGTGACGGCAGTAAAGTCAGGAGCACACGTCTCTTGACACTGAATAATGTCATTTAACTTACGATTTGTGAAGCCTGATTCATAATTTTGGAACCAGAATCTGTCGCCAAGTTTTAACCTTAAGAACTGATCAGACAAAATGCAGGAAAACGTGGGACCCACTCTCGCATCGCTTAAGGGCTTTTCTGCTATACCACCGATGTACAAGTCAATGTCATGCACGTTACTAGAAAAGGAAATATAGGTAATATGAACACACTGCATGTAAACTCAGTGCTGAAAAGTTTACTTTATATATATGACAACAAGTAAAATATATATATACATATATGTATATATGTGAATGTATATACATAGGTATATATGATAAAAAACAATGTAAGTGATAGATAAATAATAATAAAAGCTTGCAGCTGTATGTCACATAAGTAAATGACATACCTGTATAAACTCCTGAGACTCTCAATCACTTCATCTTCCATTATTCCCTGTAAGCTATCAAAGCTCGTGATTTCAGAATAACCGCATATGGATCTGACTGTTGTATAAGGTGCAATGCCATGATCACGCCCCCGCTGTAAATTGAGGGACACCAGATCCAGTCCGAAGGGCTGCCCTCGCCTG